AAGTTTGCAATTCGGTTTATAAATGGTCGAGATGCGAAAAGGGCACTGTGAATTTTGAATCGATTCGATTCAACTTTTGGCATTGCGTATTATATGGTTAAAGCTATGCCCATATTGAATTTCATGCAATTCAGTTCATAACTAACGGAGATGTAAAAGCGATTGAACATTTCTAAACAAAGTTATCGTTCACACGGACAGATAGATGGACAGACAGACAAAGGAACAGACGGAGAGATCAACCGGCAGGCGAGAGATAGCAATGCAAAATTATAAACGATCTCTAGGATCGTTAATAAACGGCAAAAGGGTAAAATTATGGAACATGTAAAAAACGGTTTTTTTGTTTTTTTTACAATAACTTTTTTTGTAAGCGGTACAGAAAAAATTCCTTCCTTGGTACAAGACTCGACACCATAACGAACCAAATAGCGAAAAAAGTAGAACAATAGCTTTTAAGATAAAAAACTAGTAGCGTCGCAAAGTTAGCGGACGGACGGACGGACGGACGGACGGACGGACGGACAAAGTGGCCACAATAGCGCATTTATTTTTTATTTTTGTGGAAATGCGCTAAAAATATTACGACCATTATCACACTTTAAAAATGCTGTTATCAAATTATTAATAGATAATAGCTATTATTCTGTCGCTGAGTACCTGGAAAATAACTCGGAAAATAATGTTCACTAGCTAGTCATTTATTTTACACTGTGTTTCTTGTAAAGTTTGTCGTCATATGTATACGTAGTTTTAGTTTTATACAAAATAGTGTAACAATTTTATATGTTCAGTGCATTTGAATTGACTTATCCCATAGTATTTATGAGCTCAGAGGATTAATAAAGTATTATTATTATTATTCTTATTATCTCCTGTATTTATTTTGTGAGTTACCATATTACTTCTTAATTACTTAATTATTTTACGTTTGAGCTTTTAATGACAATTAATACACAAATTTTCTTATAAGAAACAAGTTTAAGTAACAACAAGTTAAAAAGTAATCGTAAACGATTTACAGAGAGCGCATTTCCACTTGCATTCATATCCCATTTGTAAGATGCAACTTCTGTTAAAATCGTAAAATTCCGGCCACAAATATGAAAGATAGCGTTGCACATGTGCAATCCATTTTTGACGTGCTACTTCAACTTCTGTTTATAAGAAGAATTTCATTTCAATGCTTTCCTAAATAAGAAAGTTGGAATGCGCATGCGCAAATCAAAATTTTGAAACTAACGTTAGATTTTCCATTGTTCCAAGTACCTATGTATCAAATTTCATTAAAATGCTTCCATAAATAAAAAAGTTGGCACTGCGCATGCGCAAAACCAATTTTTGAAACTGGCGTTAGATTTTCATTTATTCCAAGTGCCTATGTATCAAAGTTCATTTAAATACTTTTATAAATAAAAAAGTTTGCAATTCAGTTTATAAATGGTCAAGATGCGAAAAGGGCACTGTGAATTTTGAATCGATTCGGCTCAACTTTTGTCATTGCGTATTATATGCCTAGAGCTATGCCCATATTGAATTTCATGCAATTCAGTTCATAACTAACGGAGATCTAAAAGCGATCGGACATTTCTAAACAAAATTATCGTTCACACGGACAGATAGAGGGACAGGCAGACAAAGGAACAGACCAACAGACAGACGACAGACAGCAATTCAAAATTATAAACGATCTCTAGGATCGTTAATAAACGGCAAAAGTGTAAAATTATGGAACATGTGAAAAACGGTTTTTTGTTTTTTTTGCAATAACTTTTTTAGCAATAAACGCAGAAAAAAATTCTTCCTTGGTGGAGGCCTCGACACCATAACGAACCAAATAGCGAAAAAAGTAGAACAAGCTCTTAAGATAAAGAACTAGTAGCATCTCAACGAACGAGCGGACGGACGGACGGACAAAGTGACCACAATAGAGCATTTTATTTTTATTGTTGTGGAAATGCGCTAAAAACAAGAATCATATAATACTTAGGCGCTACTCTAGCTCTCATAATTAACACCTAGCCACTGTTCTACTATTATTTCCTTTTAATCCAGGTCCTCCAGCTTCCTTACTGCTATCTTTCTTCCATCTACGTTAACAAGGATGCCCCCATCTCGTGACCACACCGACTTAAAACCGCATTTTTTTACAGCTGCTTACCAGATGATTTGTCTTGTTCTTGTCAGATCTTCTCTTATCACAATTCCCGTTCCTTTTAGATTACGCCTGTTCCCAATAAATTTGTTCCTGTCTAAATCTTCGGCCGATCTTCTCCGAATCACACTCGTCTTGGTAACGGAAAATTAACCTTTTAGTTTGGCCAAATCTTGCACGAGGCTTGAAACCATCTCGACACCCCAAAGTGTCATGGCTGTATTCACACAATGCGCTACTGCAGCTACATATCCCAATCTCATTGCCTTGGTCTGAAATGAGTTGAAAGTCATGGTTCAAACATCAATGCTGAAATGATTATTAGTGACGTTCGCGGCAGTGTGTGATAAATTTACCTGAATTTCTGGACAAGACTGTTATAAATTCATTAATAATTAATATTTGACAAATAAATCACGTAATTAAATGTACGTTTCAGTAGAGTAATCTTGCTAGCGAGTTAGCTGTTTTAAGTGCTATAGTCTAGTTGATAAAACTGTCTATAGGTACTGTTCCAGTTCAAGAAAAAAGTAGGACAACTTCCAATAGAAAAATGAGCGTATAATCTTGAAAAGCTTTAATGTGTTTAATGTTAAATGTTGTTTTTATCATATTTATTATCTTTGTTTATGTGTATTGTAGGGAATATTCTAGAAATCCCGATAGACATCGAGGGGCCATAAAAGAGTAGTCATCGGCAATAAGCAATGCAAGCGGATGTGACGCATTTCTCCGGGAAATATGGTGTGCACAGATTTAAAATTTAAATCTGTGATGGTGTGTTTGTTTGTTCGAGAACATTCTAGAATATTCAGGATCATTCGGAAGCGTTCGAGAACTTTCGAAAAAGACCAGCGTTTGCTATATAAGCAAATCGAATTGTGTTTCGGACTTTCGAGTCAGTTCTAACAACGATTCGAAGGGAAGTATTAAGCTCCCTCTCGTGTTAGGTTATAAATTGTGAGTAATAAATATGACTTAACTATTACAAAGTAAGTAAGACTGTTATAAATGTATTGTTTGTACCCAAGAGGAAATTGTAACGTGTAAGTACACGTGCATGGTTTTCTAGTCAAACGTCTCATCGAAATGTGAGGTTATATGTTACACCATATTTCATGATTACTTTTAAGTTGGCATGTTACGCACAGTAACATTCCAACTTCAATTTCTTAAGAGGCTATGTTATTTTTCCACGATAGTACTGTACAATTATTTCCAAATTTGGTTTTTTTGCCGCCCCTAAAAATTTGCCTCTATGGGTCCGAGCCCATATGGCCCCATACCAAATCCAAGGTAAACCTCGGAACAACAGTGAAAATCTAATTTAGGTAGAAATTAGTATTTAATTCATAGTTTTTGATGCAACTAATAAAATTTGAATCGGGAAAAGTGGGGGTCCTAACTTGAAAAATGGGTTTTCCTGCAGAACTAAGCGAGGACAAATTCTAATTTTATGGGTACAAATGGGTGCCTCCACAATTTTTGTCTTCAAAATTTTACACAATTTGTTATACTCTTCCGAATTACTTCAAGAAATTAAGCTTAAGGTACCATTTGTTAAGCTAAGGCAAAATAATACTATTTTTGCAGTTAACAACACAACTTCCCCCACTTATTAAGATCTTGATCGCTTTAAATAAGTTGTCCTCAGTTAATGATATCGACTTTTTTCACGATCCCCTAAATTCAATAATAAATAAAATTAAATCTTAAGTCCTAATGTTTGTTCAGAGCCCCAGTGCCATGTAATTGGAATTTTTATTCTGTATGGTTTCTGGTTAAACAAATAAATAAATAAATAAATACATTAGTATTTACTTAGTCCTAAATTATAGGCATATTTTTACTTGATTTGGGCAAAGTGGGGATACCAACTTTATCGACGTGAGATTATGTGTCTATTCTTGAAACCTGTAGTTTTAAATTTGATCTAGGTGCTTGCGCGGTATTCTCTGTTTGGGTTCATGAAAATGTGTTTGCTCTAGTTTGTAGTTCTAGCAAAGAGTAACCATACTCTTTGGTTCTAGTCTACCTAAGTGATTACAGCACTTGCAAACCCTGCAATTACTTTTTATAAGAGCAAGATTTGAATCAGGCTTGAAAAGAATTATGCTAATGAAATATTTACCAGATCGAACGATCACTTTCTTACTTTCTTATTTCCACCGTGAAATCTATAATTACCAATCAATTTTGTTTCAGGCGTTAAATATGTAACAATGGCCACAGTCGATAGTGGAAACGAAACGCTGTTCTCGGACGATTCTCCATGCGACCTAATTAGCTCCCCCAGCGCACTGTCGGGGGAAGATCCAGAAGTTATAGAATGCCAACATATTTCAAATCGACCGCCAAATATACAACCTTTTAGTGGTGTTTTAGAAAAGGTAAGTTTGGTTTGTAAGCGATCGTATATACGGACAACGGAAAAAGAGAAAAACAAATTTGTATTATTTACTGCGGTACGCGTTTATAAAATTCTCAACAAGAAACGATTTTATTTTAAAAGAATTGGCGGTGGTTAAAAAACGACCATTACGTTAACCGGTTTTAATCAGTTTTCGATTTCACAAATTGTTAACCTTTTTCTCCTACTATCATGCCGGTATAATGAATCGGATCGTATGTTAAGTATGAATTATGTAACTTCCGTTAGGTACTCTAAGAATTAGTTAATTAAATCACTCATGTGTAGCGATTAATTAGCTAATTTAATAATTGGCAACATCAAAAGTGTTACTGAAGGTGATATGAATTTTACTTTTTATTGCTGGAATCTAGGTCTAAACTTAGTGCATAGGTGCATTAGTTTGGTGTTATGAAAACGAAATTTCATTCGCCCCTGGTGTACAGACTGGGGTTTACCAGTGACTGTTTCTTATTCCTTATTCCTTGATTATTGTTAACTTCACCTTTTTCCACAGCAAGTAATTTATTTATTTTATTCTGATCTTTTACCGAAAGTCTCCGTTATGCGTTATTCAATAAAATTAACCGAAACTAATTGAAGTATCTATCTGATCAGATCGAACGTAATTCATTAATTACCATCTTTTTATAATGGATAGTTTTGTACGTTCAAGCAGTTCTGCTAGGTGTATTGTACAAGTATGTTTAGTGCATTTTTATTTTCCTTGCAGATGTTTTTTTAATTAAAACTTCAGAGGCACCTCAAAGTCGCCATGCATGAAAAATTGTGGTTATTTGTTGAATACCTTTGTACGAAAAACATGAATGCTATATTTACATGAGGTTTTTGTCATTTTCATGTACCTAACAGTTGGAGAGCGAATAAGTGCCTACTTTTCATCGTTGTGATTGTTTGCAGAATTCATTTGTGAAGAATCACAGTAAAGTGTATAAAGATCTGCATTGTATATTTACTTTCAGATATTTACATTTACCGGTAATACATATGGTTAGTACGTATGTCACTGTGTGCAAATGTAACCAATAAGAGATAAAATTTCGTTAGCCATATTTCAGCTGTCAACAGTATGTGGAAAAACTTGTCCACATATTAGGCTTCATAAGTCCTAAAAGCGTTACTTTTCAAAACGACTGTATACTTGGCTTGAAGCATTTTTTATTAATTTTTATCGGCACATAGTAATGAACAGTTTTGTATAGGTATTTATCGATTCGCCCCACCCCGAGCGATCTTGCTAGATTTTCTTCTTCACGCAATGTTCTTCCCATCGGAAAAGGTGTATCTGTGGCGACTAGTTATAATAAACTGGTGAAATCTGAAACTGATTTATGCATGTTAATTATATCTGCAATTTCTCTTCATAAAGTAAAAAAAACCGCCCAACCCGAATGCTTTGCATTTTAAATTTCTTACGCAAATAATTACCGGTAGGAATAAAGATTTCAGAAGGACACTCTTAATTCGCACATAAACTAGGACTACCTACTTTGACGGAAATCCAGTGTAAATCTACTGATAACCTAATTCTTTGTCGACCATTAGGTATTGTAACAATCAAGTAATAATAATACAATATGATAATAATAATAACTCTTTACTATTACTTCAATTGCTAAGTTTTGGTGAAAGCAAAAAGTGTTCATTAAAAAATTTTATGTACAATGATGTGCAGATCTGAATTCAACAAGTTGAATCCAAATGTTCAAAAAAAGCTATCGACCGTTACAAATCAGAACGAGGCGAGGCGGCAAAGCCGCCAGAGCCCAGCGTAGGTCGCATTAAAACCAAAAAGTGTTCTCAAAATTAAAAAATCTTATGTGCGGACCTGGATTCGACAAGTTGAATCGAAATTTTCAAAAAAAAACTCACTTTGTGTAAGTGATATTTCCAAAAAACAAAAATATTCCTCACAAATTTAAAAAAATGTTAATTCAGTCTGCTCAATAGCATTTTCTTACCGCACCAAAACTGAAACTGAGAAATTGTCTTTGTTGAACAGTAAACAGTGCGAGGCGAAGCCGAGCTATGGACCGTTACAAATCAGAGCGAGTCGAGGTGGCAGAGCCGCCGGTGCCGAGCGTATGTTTCATCAAAACCAAACAGTGTTATCAAAATTAAAAAAGTATAAATTGTGCACACTCTTGTGCAGATAAAGCGCATTTTTTTAACCGAAATAGCTTTTGTTTTGACATCACCAATGGATATATTTCTTGTAGACGTCTCAATCACCCTTTGTGAGTACCCTCTTCCGACAATCCGTCCTTGAGGTATACCTGAATATACTCGATCGCGATAAGAGGTCGAGGAGGAGGGCTATGGTTGGTAGAAATTAATTCCTTTCGTTGAGACCTTTCATTAGAGTACCATGAAGGATAAAACTAATTAAAGCTTAAATTTATTACATTTTGTTTTTTTGACCTCAGCGACCTCAAATTATCCTTAAAACATTACTCGCATGCCATTCTTGAAATTCGAGTACAAATATATATTTTTTTGGTCAGAAACAGATTTTTTCTTAAATAGCCGCCATATTGGTTCCAAATGGTGGGGAAAGGGAGGGCTGCGGGCCAAATCGATCTATTGGACATAAAAATCAACCATGCCAAACGGCATGCTTTCTGCATTATTCGTCAGATTTTTCTGTGTACCGCTTAGACATACTGTGATGTCTTATGGAGCGGTGTGGTGAGAAAGTTTCTTTTCCTAATATTTATATTATCTGTCTGTTCTAAAAGAAACATTTTCGAACAATATGGGGGTTTATGCGTGATTAAAATGTGATGATAAAGCCCTAGTCGATGCAATTTTCTTTGGTTTTCCATGTTCAGCCATTTTAATTTATTGAGGGTGTGTGATATCCTTTCATATTTACGTATTCCAAAAATAAAACGTAAACAGCTATTTTGGACCTTTTGAATTTTATAACAGGTTTGTTTAGTTATGCAAGGTCCGTAAACGGCATCACAGTAATTTAAAGGTGGCAGCACTAAGAAATTAGACAGTAACGCTTTTGTGTTTTGTGCCAGCACATGCCTATGATTTGTGAATTTTTGAGTTTACATGGGTTTGGAAGTTTAATTGGTTGTCCAGTCCAAGATTTTTTACTACATTCGAGGGTTTCAAACGATCACCTTTAAATTGGATAGATATTTTTTCTTAGGCAAGATTTCGATTTGACTTTGTACCGAAAAATATCAATTGTGTTTTTGCGATATTCACATTGAGACAATGGTCTTCTGCTATATTTACAAACGCGGCTATATCTTTGTTAATAGAGTCTGCAACTGTACTGATTTCTTTAGGAAGTATTTTAAAATATATTTGACAATCATCAGCATATATGTGAATACTGCCTAGTTTTAAAGAGGACTGAGTAGGTTAAGGGTATAGATCGAAAATAATAGGGGCCCGAGTATTGATCCTTGAGGAACACCACAAGTTACTGGTACCAGGTTTGAGGAGACCCCATCTATCACCACTTTCTGATACCGATCGAAGAGGTAAATTTTAAGTAATTGTATTGCAGAATTCCCAAAACCGATGTAGTGCAATATTTTTAAAAGAAGATGATGGTTAACTGTATCAAACGCCCTTGAGAAGTCTACCAAAATTAGTGCAGTGACGGCGCTTTCATCAGTATTCCGCATGATGTCATCGGTGATTTTTAATAGGGCTGTGAGTTGACAGTGGGGACAAGCGGTGACTAGGAGAAGCTACGCTACGATTGACCATCATAGATCAAAACATATGACCAAACCTACGATTTACGATGGAAAAACTTCTTGGGAAATTATTTTATCCAGTTTAGCTATACCATTGATTCATTGAATAAAATACTCAAACCGACTCGGGGATACGGGCACGGGAGCTGCATCAGTATGTATATCTACTTGCAGATCCCGCATCCGTACCGCTCCCGTTCCCCTGCCTGCATTCCCTCGTTGGTTTGAGTGGACCTTATGTAGCCGCGAATGCGAACGGATGCAACGGCCCTTATTGTGGCTGTACGAGGGAAACTACTGGGCTTTCCTCCTAAACAACGTTCTAACAGTACGGAACTAGTGAAGAGGATGGAAATGGGTTACAGTCACTCTCACATGGCGGTGGTTTATCGTACCTACTCAACCTAAAAATAGGGTTCAGAAGGTTATTGAAACTTTGCATGATTTCGAGGCGAATGTTGCAAGATTATGTGGCATCCTGTGTGGTACAAAATTCATCCACTTGCGGTCTGTCGCGATTGATTTTAAACAAGGACACTACGGTAGCAGATAGAACTCGAAACCATTGTCATGACACGATTGGACGGTAAATACAGTGAAGGCAGTAGGTATTTCGTTTTTGGATTGCGGTGTAGTAATGATTTAAAATTGGGTCGAGGAATTTTAGTTGGTAGATATTCGGGTGCAAATGGCCAGTCCCGTTTCGTTTGACAATGTTCAACTGTGCCGTGACTAAAAAAGCTAGCTATCCACTTCCATAAATTGATGATACGCTTGACACGCTCTCGGCTCTGAGTTTTTTTTTACTTTGGATTTAAAAAGCAGTTATTGACAAGTGGAAATGGATCCAGAAGAGCGGGAGAAGACAACATTTATGATCAGTTCGGGCATTTTCCAGTCATGCCGTTTGGATTGTGTAACGCACCCGCAATGTTTAAACGTATGAAGGAAAATGCGCTAAAAGGATTATCGTGGAAGACTTGTTTAGTCTACCCGGACGACATCATTGTGGTTAGAGGGACCTTCGAATACCACATGAAGAATCTGCTATAGGTCTAACAAAGGCCAATCTAAAACAATATTTGGGACATTTTGTGTCTGACCGTGGTGTTGCTCAGTTGCTGTTGGTCCTGAGAAGGGCAGAGCCGTTAGAGAATGTTCAACCCCAATTGATAAATCTCAAGGAAGAAGTTGTCTCGGTCTGTGCATCTTTTACCGACGATTTGTGGCAGAT